AACACCTGATTCTTTCATACAACTATAGTTCATCTCACATTCCATGGCACTAAAGAACATCTGATTGCTTGATTTAAACATATTTATTTTCACAAATATATGAAAATGGATCGGTAAACAAGCTTTTGTTAATAACGCTTCATTAGACATAATGCATGATACAATTAATACATCGGTGTTGGGTGAATGTAAAATATGAATTATACATTCCAAGCTAGTTCTGTATATATGATGAATATATTTGCAGTTATATTAATCAATTATTTAATTGATAATCTTCCAGTTGTTGTAATGAGGTTTTGAATAGAATTTAATATTTGGATTTGATCTTTCTTACTCAAATACGAATTTATCTGTATAGCATTGTTTGTAAACATTTTGGTAAAAAATCATTTCATTTCGAAGAATATAGTACTTTGTACACACAAATAAGAAATGGAAAGCACCTTCGGCATGATATCCACAGGAACAAATTTTAGTATCTAAAATAAGTCTATTATACTGAACATGATCTTCATTAAGATGGCTGCAGTCAAGCCTGAGGCGACTGCAAATAATTTGACATATCCTGTTTCCATAATTAAAGGCCCAGTTTATACCATTATCTTCCCTTCCATGTAGCAGGTTCCTAAATTGTGTAACGGTCTCTGCCCCCGTTAGGTTTTCTGGTAACATATTCCAAAGTTGTGTTGCAGCTGGTATAAATGGATCTGCATAAGCTTTGTTTTACACTTCACGGTTTGAAGATTATATTTTTAGCTTTATCCCTTGAGTTATGATTAATGCTTTCCGAAACTGTATTAGGAATAGGCCTACAAAGATATTTAGGGGAGAGATTATTATTCATTTTATAAAACGTTACCAATTTTGAATTCTGAAATTCTGTACAAGTCATTATTGAGATTACTTGCAGCTATATCCGGATTTTCTATGATCACATACAGAGACGTGTCATCAGTATGATATTAACATTTATTCCTTAAACAATGTCATTGATATAAATAATAAACAATAATGGTCCCAACACCGAGCCCTGTGGTACACCGGCCACTATTGCTTTTGGATCTGAGCTCAAGTCATTTATAAGTACCTTTTGATGTCGAGTTCCACAAATACAATCACGTTGTAGTTTATAAACTATTCCTTTGTACCAAACTTTATCAAAAGTTTTACTTACGTCACTAAATACAGCTCTAACTCCCTTACCTTCATCTAGAGTCTTTGAAATAAAGTCATATAAATATGTCAACTAATTTGAGATGGAGTCACCCTGCGTGAACCCAGATTATAGGTTAGTAAGCACAATATTGTTCCTTAAATAGTTATAATTTCGTTTGAATATACATTTTGCAAATATCTTGGCTAAACAACTTGTGAGCGCGACCGGTCTGTAATTTGTACATTCATTCACGCTATTTTTCCTATGATTTGGGATATTGTGAGGGAATATTGCGCGTTGAAGAGAGACATTGCATAGTTCAGTAAGTAAGGAATTGGGCTAACAAGTGTCAGCTGTATTTTGAAGTACCTTTTTCCAATACCATCAGGTCCAGCTGCCTCAGTGGTGTCCACGGACAGTAGAATATCCCTAACTTCAATTAACTTCGATTACATACGCTTGTTTTTTCAAAAATTAAGATTCTTTATTTCCGACTTGGAGCCCTCGTTACAAATGTGTAACGTACAATTTCACGTGTGTTTCAAGTAGTGGAAATATAGTTACAAACTGTATTAAAGATTTAGTTTATGGTATGTATTTTGTGTTCCAGATGTAAATCGCTTTTCAAATATACCGAAATACCTTTTGGTATTAACACAGTTGTGTATAACCTACACTGAACGTTCTGACATATCATCAAATAGGGCTGTGTATTGGCGAAAAAATGTATTATAATATACTGCGATGTAGGTCTGTGTGGCGATATCTTTTAGCAGTTATTGATACTGATTGTAAAATGCAAGCAGCTCCTTTTTTCTACAAAAACTAAAGTAAATTTTACACAGGAGGGCCAGTCGCTGCCATTTTGTAGTCATTGATACAGGGGGTACGGGTGGCCCAGTCGTCTAAGGCGCCGCGATTCGCTGTGCAGAGTTGCGTCCCTTGGGCACGCCAGAAACCTATGATTGTGGGTTCGAATACCGGTTCGCCCCGATTATGTTTCTATGTTTGTCAGCACCATACCCGTGCTCGTGGGTTTCACCGAAGTGGTAAATGTCTGGGACCTGCATCACTTCGGGCTTTTCTCCCACATTAAGCTGACACGCCGTGATATAACTGGAATACTGTTAAAAGCGGCGTTAAACCCAACTCACTCACTCACTCATTGATACAGGGGAGATAATTACATGAGAGAGAAATTACTTTTGTAGAAGGAAAATAACATTTGTGAACGAATTTCAGTGTAGACTTCAGGCTAAACGATACAGATAATTACAAAAAACTGTTATATTGTTTTTTACCCCATGACCGGAAGAAAGAAAAAATATTGCAATACCTATCGTTTGAAAAGCGTATTCCAGCATACGGCAATGGAGCATATAGAGGTAATGCCGTGCAGTCCTATCATCACATGTGTCAGTGATAACTGTAATATTCCCGAAGATTAAGGATGCTTCAAGAAAAGGGTGCGCACCACTACACCCCCTTTTCTTGATCCGGGTATGGTACTTTGCTGAACATGTTTTTTGCAAGGAGGGACACCGCCACTATAATACGAGATGAATATCTCTCTACTCTTTGTGAAACATGGGCAAACAGAATGACTAATGGTCACATGAGTTTCACATGAAAATTGATGCTGGTCTAAATGTTCTAACTACGTCGTTAGTTTTGTACTTTTAACCGTAACAAGAAAATATTGCCAATATTTGTAGTAAGCCATGTAAACAAAACGGAAAGAAAGACAATGTTTGGTTGGTTCTAAATTGAATATATATAACACAAATGCAGCTCAGTGGCTTTATTAAGAGATCTCCTGTTGGGAATGTGACAGAAGATGGGAAATAGCTCCGCTCCCAGACAGAATAACAACATGTATTACCCGTAGTTCAAGACCCACGTCGCATGGCCATGCAATTATACCGCAGACACGTCTCTCCATCAACGACATGTTGTAACGAGCCACCGCAACAGACGATCTCGTCGTGGGTCTACATTGCCTGGATTGCATAACTGAGCAAGGGCATTTGAACAAGACATCTGCTAGCTGTTGCTGATATATCGGGTATTGTAACGTCAGATAACGCTAATAACAAAGGAGACAAAGTCTAAACTTATGAACAAGTATCTCTTTACGACGACGCAAATTGACTGAAAATATGTGCATGACCGTTAGTGATAGCCTACTATTTCAGTCATGTTGAGGCTCAGGCAGTTTAGTCATTGTCATTTGACTTTGACGCTGACGAAGAGACCTTGATCGACAACTGATACAGTCGTTATCCCTGCGTCTTTTGACCCTCATTGCATTGTCTTCATTTCCAGATACCAATCCGGTCAACGTCTCTTCAGTGCCACGTATCATCATGTCCCCGTCACCCGTCCCTCATCACAATCATAGCCCCGTCACCCGGCTCTCATCACCATCGTGGCTCCGTCACCCGTCCCTCATCACCATCATGGCCCCGACACTCGTCCCTCATCACCATCATGGCCCCGACACCCGTCCCTCATCACCATCACGTCCCCGTCACCCGTCCCTCATCACCATTACGTCCCCGTCACCCGGCTCTCATCACCATCATGGCCCCGACACTCGTCCCTCATCACCATCATGGTCCCGTCACCCGTCCCTCATCACTATCATTCCCCCGACACCCGTCTCTCATCACCATCACGTCCCCGACACCCGTCCCTCATCACCATCATAGCCCCGTCACCCGGCTCTCATCACTATCATTCCCCCGACACCCGTCTCTCATCACCATCATGGTCCCGTCACCCGGCTCTCATCACCATCATGGCCCCGACACCCGTCCCTCATCACCATTACGTCCCCGTCACCCGTCCCTCATCACCATCATAGCCCCGTCACCCGGCTCTCATCACTATCATTCCCCCGACACCCGTCTCTCATCACCATCACGTCCCCGACACCCTTTCCTCATCACCATTGTGGCTAGGTCATCCGTCCCTCATCACCATCATGACCCCAACACCCGTCCCTCATCCCCATCATGGCCCAGTCACCCACCACACATCACCATCATGGCCCCGTCACCCGTCCCTCATCACCATCATGGCCCCGTCATCCGCTCTTCATCACCATCTTGTCCCCGTCATCCGTCCCTCATCATCATCATGGCCCCGTCATCCGCTCTTCATCACCATCACCCATCCCTCATCATCATCAAAACCCGGCATCCGCTCCTCATCACCATCATGGCCCCGTCATCCGCTCCTCATCACCATCATGGCCCCGTCATCCGCTCTTCATCACCATCTTGTCACCGTCATCTGTCCCTCATCACCATCACAGCCCCGTCATTCGTCCCTCATCACCATCATGGCCCCGTCATCCGCTCTTCATCACCATCACGTTCCCGTCACCCGTCCCTCATCATCATGATAACCCCGTCATCCGCTCCTCATCACCATCATGGCCCCGTCATCCGCTCCTCATCACCATCATGGCCCCGGCATCCGCTCCTCATCACCATCATGGCCCTGTCATCCGCTCTTCATCACCATCATGGCCCCGTCACCTGTCCCTCATCATCATCATAACCCCGTCATCCGCTCCTCATCACCATCATAACCCCGTCAACCCTCCTCATCACCATCATGGCCCCGTCACCCGTCCCTCATCATCATCATAACCCCGTCATCCGCCACACATCACCATCATGGCCCCGTTACCCGTCCCTCATCACCATCATGGTCCCGTCACCCGTCCCTCATTACCATCATGGCCCCGTCATCCGCTCTTCATCACCATCTTGTCCCTGTCATCCGTCCCTCATCATCATCATAACCCCGTCATCCGCCACACATCACCATCATGGCCCCGTTACCCGTCCCTCATCACCATCATGGCCCCGTCATCCGCTCTTCATCACCATCTTGTCCCTGTCATCCGTCCCTCATCATCATCATAACCCCGTCATCCGCCACACATCACCATCATGGCCCCGTTACCCGTCCCTCATCACCATCATGGCCCCGTCATCCGCTCTTCATCACCATCTTGTCCCCGTCATCCGTCCCTCATCATCATCATAACCCCGTCATGATCATCCGTCCCTCATCACCATCATGGCCCCATCATCCGCTCCTCATCACCATCATGGCCCCGTCATCCGCTCTTCATCACCATCACGTCCCCGTCACCTGTCCCTCATCACCATCATGGCCCCGTCACCCGCTCCTCATCACCATCATGGCCCCGTCACCCGCTCCTCATCACCATCATGGCCCCGTCATCCGCTCTTCATCACCATCATGGCCCCGTCACCCGCTCCTCATCACCATCATGGTCCCGCCATCCGCTCCTCATCACCATCATGGCCCCGGCATCCGCTTCTCATCACCATCATGGCCCTGTCATCCGCTCCTCATCACCATCATGGCCCTGTCATCCGCTCCTCCTCATCATCATCATAACCCCGTCATCCCCTCCTCATCACCATCATGGCCCCGTCCTCCGCTCCTCATCACCATCATGGCCCCGTCACCTGTGGGGACCCGGGTTAGCATATAGGTCCACGGCACACGACTGGTTGTCGAAAAGTACGAATACATGGAATTGGATGGTCAGGACAGATGATTGCGGTCCACCATAGCCTCATCACCATCATGGCCCCGTCATCCGCTCTTCATCGCCATCACGTCCCCGTCACCCGTCCCTCATCATCATGATAACCCCGTCATCCGCTCCTCATCACCATCATGGCCCCGTCATCCGCTCCTCATCACCATCATGGCCCCGGCATCCGCTCCTCATCACCATCATGGCCCCGTGATCCGCTCTTCATCACCATCATGGCCCCGTCACCTGTCCCTCATCATAATCATAACCCCGTCATCCGCTCCTCATCACCATCATAACCCCGTCAACCCTCCTCATCACCATCATGGCCCCGTCACCGTCCCTCATCATCATCATAACCCCGTCATCCGCCACACATCACCATCATGGCCCCGTCACCCGTCCCTCATCACCATCATGGCCCCGTCACCCGTCCCTCATCACCATCATGGCCCTGTCATCCGCTCTTCATCACCATCTTGTCCCCGTCATCCGTCCCTCATTATCATCATAACCCCGTCATCCGTCCCTCATCACCATAGTGGCCCCGTCATCCGCTCCTCATCACCATTATGGCCCCATCATCCGCTCCTCATCACCATCATGGCCCCGTCATCCGCTCCTCATCACCATCATTGCCCCGTCATCCGCTCCTCATCACCATCACGTCCCCATCACCCGTCCCTCATCATCATCATGGGCCTGCCATCCGCTCCTCATCACAATCATGGCCCCGTCATCCGCTCCTCATCACCATCATGGCCCCGTCATCCGCTCCTCATCACCATCACGTCCCCATCACCCGTCCCTCATCATCATCATGGCCCTGCCATCCACTCCTCATCACCATCATGGCCCCGTCATCCGCTCTTCATCACCATCATGGCCCCGTCATCTGTCCCTCATCACCATCATGGCCCTGCCATCCGCTCCTCATCACCATCATGGCCCCGGCATCCGCTCCTCATCACCATCATAACCCCGTCAACCCTCCTCATCCCCATCATGGCCCCGTCACCGTCCCTCATCATCATCATAACCCCGTCATCCGCCACACATCACCATCATGGCCCCGTCACCCGTCCCTAATCACCATCATGGCCCCGTCACCCGTCCCTCATCATCATGATAACCCCGTCATCCGCTCCTTATCACCATCATGGCCCCGTCATCCGCTCCTCATCACCATCATGGCCCCGGCATCCGCTCCTCATCACCATCATGGCCCCGTCATCCGCTCTTCATCACCATCATGGCCCCGTCACCTGTCCCTCATCATCATCATAACCCCGTCATCCGCTCCTCATCACCATCATAACCCCGTCAACCCTCCTCATCACCATCATGGCCCCGTCACCGTCCCTCATCATCATCATAACCCCGTCTTCCGCCACACATCACCATCATGGCCCCGTCACCCGTCCCTCATCACCATCATGGTCCCGTCACCCGTCCCTCATCACCATCATGGCCCCGTCATCCGCTCTTCATCACCATCTTGTCCCCTTCATCCGTCCCTCATCATCATCATAACCCCGTCATCCGTCCCTCATCACCATAGTGGCCCCGTCATCCGCTCCTCATCACCATCATGGCCCCATCATCCGCTTCTCATCACCATCATGGCCCCGTCATCCGCTCCTCATCACCATCATTGCCCCGTTTTTCGCTCCTCATCACCATCATGGCCCCGTCATCCGCTCTTCATCACCATCACGTCCCCGTTACCCGTCCCTCATCATCATCTTAACCCCGTCATCCGCTCGTCATCACCATCATGGCCCTGTCATCCGCTCCTCATCACCATCATGGCCCTGTCACCCGCTCCTCATCACCATCATGGCCCCGTCACCCGCTCCTCATCACCATCATGGCCCCGTCATCCGCTCCTCATCACCATCATGGCCCTGTCATCCGCTCCTCATCACAATCATGGCCCCGTCATCCGCTCCTCATCACCATCATGGCCCTGTCATCCGCTCCTCATCACCATCATGGCCCTGTCATCCGCTCCTCCTCATCATCATCATCATCATAACCCTGTCATCCCCTCCTCATCACGATCATGGCCCCGTCCTCCGCTCCTCATCACCTTCATGGCCCCGTCACCTGTGGGGACCCGGGTTAGCATATAGGTCCACGGCACACGACTGGTTGTCGAAAAGTACGAATACATTGAATTGGATGGTCAGGACAGATGATTGCGGTCCACCATAGCCCGTGATGCTCATAATATTAGATTCTTTACCATGTGTTCCCGAGTTCAGGTGAACAATTGGCTTGCCTTTGCATGTGTTTGTGACGGGGCTGGATACGCTCACCTTTTCGCGAATACTTGGTATCATCACTATTTGTGATTCATAAACACATGCTCATGCTTTAGTCGGAATCGTACAAGCGACTCTGCTTTTAGCGCAGATTTCTTATGGATATGGAAAGGTTTTGGTCGCTTTTATTTACAAGCCTTCCTGATACAGTTAGAATGTGCTGACTGAGAAGTAACACAAGAAACATATACCAGTCTAACTGAAGATATACTGATACCATTTGACAGTTTTATTATTCCTCCCACCGCCAGCCTTCCAGGGTAAGGAACTGGTACTTGTTTCTGTTGTGCCAACAACATTTAAGAGTTCGGACCTTCAAAAAACACGTTCCAGAACGCGATGTTCATGAATTCAAATTCCACGTTCGCCGTGATTATGATTCTTGATTAGTCAGCAACTTTCCCGTGCTTGTGTGTTTCACCATAATTCTAAACGTCTGAAACTGAGATACTGAGAGCGGCTATAATCCAAATCCACTCACAAATAATGTCTGTGGTAGTATCAATGTACAGAAACGTTCACTGTTGGAAAACCATTCTGAAATGAATCACTGTAATATAGCATCAGATTAACTTATGCTTGAGGACATAACCTTAAATATAAATAGACTGCACTTTTACCTTTCAACAAGAGCTCACTTACTCTCCAAATCACTCCGGGAATGGTATTTCAGTGAGTCACATTTCTTCACCTGATACATCCCCCTCGAGGCTAATTACTCGCGATCCACCCCCCTTCTTACATAAACCGTCCCGTCTGACAGGATTCCCCCATTTATTCTTTCACATCGTCTCGCTAAATCATCTCTATCCATTTCTTGTTTTCTCGAGCTGGATAACACGCCCGGGGCTTTTTACAGATAAATCATATTTCGTGGACACGAAAACAGAAATTATTCGCAGCTGGGTTTTGTAATACGACATTGTAATGATCACGCATACTCTCAATTATGGACGTATTTTTTGTCTTGGCCCAACCAAGCTTCCGTATTGTCATGTCTCTTGCCTCCAAGACACGGCAAATTAAAGCTTCAGGTACCATGAAGTCATGTCAACTGGATGAGATGTTCCCATCTTTGTAATGCTGATTACCAAATACTCTTCTCAAAAGAAGTTAAGGGCCAACTGTTTCTTTCATATTACTGTAGTTAAAATGACACAAACGAACACCCCATTCTTTCATATTACAAACGTAAATCTGTCATGCCATGACACTCAAGAACACCCGATTATTGCATATTACTATCGTAATCTGTCATACCATGGCACTCAAGAAGACCCGATTCTTTCATATTACTTGTCATGCCATGACACTCAAGAACACCAGATTATTTCATATTACTTGTCACGCGATGACACGAATACCGATTATTTCATGGTACTATAGTTAATCTGTCATGCCATGACACTAAAGAACATCCGATTCTTTCATATTACTATAGTTAATTTGTCATGCAATGACACTTAAGAACACCCGATTATTTAATAGTACTATAGTTAATCTGTCATGTCATGACACTAAAGAACATCCGATTCTTTCATATTACTATAGTTAATTTGTCATGCAATGGCACTTAAGAACACCCGATTATTTCATATTACTTGTCACGCCATGTCACTCAAGAGCTTCCGATTATTTCATATTACTATAGTTAATCTGTCCTGCCATGTCCCTTATTACCGTATTGTTTCGTTGGAAGACGCTGTGAAATTCAACACTCGGAATACACTTTGAATAAAGGTACTCCTTTTAAATGATTTTTGAAGTTCTACACATGATTTTGACTTCACTTGGATATATAAATGCCTTGGGTACCATCAATACCTGAGGAAAAGTGGGTATAAAACACTGTGTGTCTCTCCAGTTGGTTGCAGTTACTGAATCGTATGATGCGAATAAAGGGGGGGGGGAATTTAATGGGTAGTCAGTTAACTATTGCAATGGCATAGATACAAAATATATCATCACATAATCGATACCAGTTTCTGTATTGTTACGAGTTGATTCCCAAATTGAAACAATATATTAACCCTGAAATCTGTACGTAAATGAATAAAGTGTGAAACCAACAAACAAACAACAAATGGTACACAATCAACAATTGTATTACACAATTAACTAGGTTTAGAAATCAATGCAAATTACCGCACAGCAATTACAATTGTAGTATGCAATAGAGTGGAAGTGCAATATTCAATGGCAGTATCAAATACAAACTTAAGTATGATGACAGTGGTGATATCAAATAGTTCAGTTAGAATAGTATTCACCTATCCGCAACAGTGGTCAACCTTCCGAGATAGGCCTAGGCTGGGAGTCCAGGGTGATACGTGATCTTCACGCAAAAGCTGGTCTTGATGTAACGTGAGATGAAATGCGAGATGAAATGTGAGATAAAGTGTGAGATCAGTCAGGGACGCGCCAGCTCAACTTATAGAGTCTAACTAGCTTCCAGCACTTTCCACAGAGTCCTTGACCAGTCCAGTGTCACTAGAACATCACAGAATATTCCACGTTTCGATAACTATTGACACACATCGATAATTCGAGCATCTGAATATAGTAACGTCCCCACCTCCGCTTTCATTAAATAGTGCTTCATTAGTGATTACTACTCATTGTCCAAATACATCTCAACAGAAACAATGTAAAACAGTAATATCACTTAGTTTTATATGTTTAACAGTATGCTTGTAAAATCATCACTATAGTAAACTAACATGAATTAAATCAATAAGCTAAATCTAAATATTTAACATACTACTTCCTTAAATATTTGTGTTAACTTCAGCCCTTGCACAAATCTACTATTTCTTTGTCAGTTTGTTTCTGTAAATAGCTTGGGTAGTTCAGCCATTTCATGGCTATTGTCAATGGGCCGGTCACAGGTTTGGCCTGTGATTAGGTTCTTCTTGTTCTCTAGTTTTGCATGATCTCTGCAATCATGTGCATACCCTGGGCCCACTTGCACAAATCGATCTTAGCGCCAAGACGATTGTAACTCTCATACTTTAACATAGGCTTAAGATAATCATAGCGCTAAAATCGCTTTGTGCAAGTGGCCCCTGGTCAGGACGTCTACTGGCCAGTCGGCATATTTCCTCTACACAAATTCTAAGCACATTCTCTTCACTGCATCATATAGGCTAAGTTCATCTAATCATTCCTTTATTTATCTGGAAACTTAGGTTACTGTGACGAGGTGGGATATAATGTTTTGTTAATTGTGCATGATTAACTAGTATATATAATGTGTTAATATGTTTATCTAGTGGGATTTGTTCAAGTATATGTGCCAAAAGGAATGAACTATTAAGCTAAATGTATTATTAGTATTGTTGTTATCTGCTGCCTTTATACTGTCCACACCCATGATGTTTATTATTAAATTATGTATGTTTTAGGGCAGATTCGAACTACCTTGTAACACCATCTCCACGCTCCTTTGAATAATGAGTACTCCGTTATCATGGAGACGACCACGAGTACCGCTGTTAGATATGGAAATACAACAATATAGTTATTGGGGATTAATTTATCTACTTGTATATCGAATACGATGCATGTTGTGGACATTGTGATGGTATTTCTTGAACCCAACGTATCCTTATTCACTGTGAAACAATTGTGAAACAGGAAAAAGAAGCCCTTCAATACATCTTAGTGCAACAAATACATCTTAGAGTTTCAGAATGTTAAAGAAATCTAACCAGTGTTAAAACTAAGCGGAAAGGGGAAGCGTCTTTTTGCAAACTTGTTTCAGATGAAAGCGTTAATTTTATCTAGTTGTCCTTCGTGGCTAAAAGAAACATAACGTCAACAAAAGAAAGCTTCAGATAAAGAAACATCTATAAGCCTTCCACCAAAATACCTCTGCTGAACAAGACTAAGCTTGTGTGTTTGTTTCTTCATCAAGATTCACATTGTAGACTGCGTAGCTTACACGGAATGTTGGAATTGTGGAAGAGTACATTCAATTTATTTTTAAAGATACAAGATACGCAGTTTCGGAATTTAAGGCCTATTTGCCAATGTGCAACATACATGTACAATTTCACATTCATGCATCATCAAATAGGACTGTATTTTGGCCACAAACTTAGATTAAATGATGCAAATAATAACGAAACGTGTTATATCTTACTCAATATACCGGAACACAGACGAATATTGCAATAAATATCGTTTGAAAAGCGTATTTCTGTATACCGCTATACCATACACCTATAAGAAAATAGATGCTGGTCAAAAGCTGGTACCACATCTTTAGTGATGTATTTGTCAGCCGTAAGAAGAAAACATTGTAAATATTGTTAGTAAGCCACGTACACAACACGGAAAGAAAAAAATGTTTGGTTTGTTCTAAATTGAATATGAATAACACAATGCAGCTTAGTGGCTTTATTAAGATATCTCCTGTTGGGAATGTGACAGAAGATAGGAAATAGCTCAGCCCCCAGACAGAATAACAACATGTATTACCCGTAGTTCAAGACCCACGTCCATGCAATTATACCGCAGACACGTCTCTCCATCAACGACATGTTGTAACGAGCCACCGCAACAGACGAGGGTCAACATTGCCTGGATTGCATAACTGTACAAGGGCATTTGAACAAGACATCTGCTAAATGCTGCTGATATATCGAGGTGCAGTAACGTCAGATAACGCTAATTACAAAGGAGATAGTCTAAAGTTACGACCAAGGGTCTACTTACGACGCCGAGACTTGACCGAAAATATGTCCATGGCCGTTAGCGATGGCCTTCTATCTTAGACTTGTTTCAGCTCAACCTGGTTAGTCAGT